TTTTGGTTTTTCTCCGGTACCAGGAACCGAACTCACGACCTTGCGCTTGCCAGGCAGGCGCTTTTGCCGCTGAGCTAAATCCCCAGCCCCATCCCTAGCATTTTTAAGAACATAATATATTGTTACTGACTGAGGCCACACAGTGTACAGCAGAATTGATATTTTGTGCCCTTTGACCAAAATTTTCTGAATCACCACTCTAACCATCTAGACGTGTTTTTATATTGTTGAAAATACTAGTCTGCAAAAAATCTGTATTTCAACTTTTTGTTCCTCTGTGAGAACATTGAAATGTGTAAGGAAAAACTATTGAAACTATAGAGGGACCAAAACACTATCATCAGGAAAAATTCTGCGTAGTTGTTTTAGAAACTGAAGCTCAAGTGACAAAAATGACTAATACACTTGATCTGTGTGTGTGTGTGTGTGTGTGTGTGTGTGTGTGTGTGTGTAATTTCATTTGTAGACTGAAAACCTATGGTAAAAATCCCTTTTAAATGTCTGGGAAGTATTTAAAAAACTGATCACTTATTAGACCACAAAGAAAAGTTTACATATTTTGTAAAATAAAAGTTATAATAGACACAGTTCCTGACCACAGGGCCATAAAAGTAGAAATATACCATAAAAGAATAGCAAAGTTTTTATCCAATTAGAAATTTTAACACATTTTATTTTATGATCTTTTTGAGACAAGGTTTCACTATATAGTTCAGGCTGGCCTTGAACTCACTTTGTAGCCCAGGTTGGCCTCAAACTCACAGCAATCCTCCTGCCTCAGCCTCCCGAGTACTGGGATTACAGACATCACCACCTCGCCAGCTAACACAGCATTTTAGAGAGGAGATTAAAGCGCAGATTACTAATTGCTGGAAAATGATGGCAATGAGAACACTGACACATCAAAAACTATGGGATGTAGTCAAAGAGACTTTTAAAGGAAAGTATATATTCTTTAATGCACTTATTAGAAAATAAATTGGAGAAAAGATCTAACTGTTCAGCTGAAGAAGCATAAAAATGAAATCAATGTAAAGAAAGCCAGAAAGAAGGGATTAATAAATATAAGGATATACGTGAAGAAAAACAGAAATTAGCAAATGCTACACTTAGTCAGCAAAATGCAAAATTGAATTCATGAAAAGACTGAAGAAACAGGAAAGCTTCTAGCCAAGCTGACCAGGAAGAGAAGGTCATAAAGGAGAATATCTAAAATTGTGGAGTTTTAACAAAAATTACAAGATAATGGTAAATATAATTTTTCTAGGGAATTTAAGTGTTTATGAAAATGATGATTTTCTAATAAATGACCTAAATACTATAGACTGAGGATGAGAATGATCAGGAACTCTCATCTTTTACAACTGTACACTTGTATGGAGTTGGATTTTACTTTAAGCTTGTCGTTCTTTTAATAAAAATAGAGAGCAAAGGATGAGGCCTTACTGTATTTTGAGGTTTAACGCTTCTACCCAGTGTCCCGAGGAACAATTTAGTGAGATCCACGTGCCGTGGAAAAAGCCAGGAGCTCTTGCTTTTCTTTCCAAGTAGAGGCTGGAATGGCGCTGCAGGCGCAGGAGAAGTGTGGAAGGCCCTGGGCTGGCCTGCCCCGCCTCCCTCTGAACCGCAGGACTGAGCAGGCCGCTCCACCAGTGCAGGGTTTCCTCGTGCCACTTGTGCAAACAGCAGAGGGTAGGCAGTTATTCCTTCAAAATGCCCACTTAGTTTTTTCTTCTGCCATTTTGCACGTGGCTCTTATTTACAAAAGCGGGGGTAGGAGGCCTCCACCAGCTGGTTCTATCTGACTAACACCACCACCTATGATGGTCAGGGCTTCCTAGCATCTTTGATGAGCAGCCGACTTTCTTCTGGTGCGAAGAGATCCTTCATAATAGTCTTCTGGCCTTGGGATAAGCTCCTGTTCGTTATGACATAGCAGTGATGGTAAAATTCCACTGAAAGAGCCACTGAGCTCCTTGCTCTGTGACTTACCACCACCGGTCCCTTCCGAGTCCCTGTGAACAGCAGGCAGAGCTCACGGGCCCCCTGCAGGCACCCCCACCTCGGTTGTCACCCTTGCTGCTTCCTGTTCCATGTTCTACAAATTGAGGAGGAACGAAGCTTGGAAATTGGCTTCCTGCTCGCTCGGACCTACTGCATGGGATGCAGGATGCGTGCTTTATCCATGAGACATCCGCATACCTCCCTGAGGTGTCTTAGGTAGAAAATTTGTTTCCACATAGAAGGTATGGAAACTGAACCTCACAATAAAAGTAATTTGGTGGAAACAGCTAAGCACGGGTTATACGTTAATCAATTTGAAGATACAAGGCAAAATAACTAATGCTTAGTTTCTCCTATTACAGTTTCATAACATGGATCACTTCTACATCACGTTTAGAGGCTTTTCCCCACACATGAAACGATCAGTTTTGCAATAGACATCAGCTGACTGTCCCCTCATTTAATTCAGTTCCGACACTACCTGGAGATAGTGCCCAAGACTATCCCCCCCCCCCGATCTTATGATGCCAGTTGCAAACCCCAGATTATTTTACCTGTGCTTCTGACCGACCAGGTATAAGTCAAGGTTCCCATAATTGCCATCTTGGGTTCCACTAATTTGTTTGAGCAGCTTACAGAACTCACAGAAACATGTTTACTTGTTTAGTATAAAAAAATGGAGCAAAAGATACAGATGAAGAGATACAAGGTAAGGCATGGCTGGAGGGGTCGGGGGTCCATGTCTTCTCTGGACGCACCATCCTCCGGGAATCGCCACATGTTCAGCTGTTCCTGAGCTCTCAGAACCTCGATCTTTTGGGTTTTTATAGAAACTTCATAGCATGGGACTGTGTGAAGTATGTGCAACTCGATAGCAATGTGATGGGACAGGGAGTATAATCTAACACTAACAGGATGAAGTGACAAAGCAGCAAGGACTGCAGGCTCACATTCCCCTTGGACCCTTTGTGCAGCATTCCTTTGAGGTCCTATGCTCTATCATATCATGTATGTCAGAGAATTTCTTGATAGCCATGACCAAGATAGAAAGTTAATGGAAGATTAGAGTTTCTGTTACTCAGCTGGGAAGAGAAATTCTAGTTACTACAGCCTGCTTTGAGTGCAGGGAGAGCTATGGAGGACAGTCCAACTAGGAACAATATCACAAAACGTACAGCAATCAAGTAAAGGTTTAGCCAGAAGACCGTTCTGATGTCCTCCACTCAAATGTTAAGCAGCATGTAGTTCAACAGTGAGATGGAACTTCGTTCCTTGTTTACCTTAAGGTTCATTTACTGATTTTACTGTCTCCCTTCCCCACAGATCGTGCTACATGTGGCTTCGTAGTGTATCAAAACGACAAGCTTTTTCAATCAAAAACTTTTACAAGTAGGTCAGATTTTAGTCAAAAAATCATCTCAAGCAAAGTGGGTGGAAATGAACAAGATCTGAGTGCTTCTGTTAAAATGATCTTTAGTCCAAAGGTAAGTTTTCCATTAACGAAATGAAAAACCCAGGTCATTCTTCATTACAAAGGCAGTGATAATGTGGGTAAAAGAAATAAAAAGAAAATCTCTTTGAAAGATTCTTTAAAGTACTCATTTAAACCTTTCTACTACCCATATTGTTTGTCAAACTAGCTAAGTACAAGGTAAATTCATTTGAATTTTACCTTTCCCTCACAATCTACAATTATATTAATAAAAAATTATTAATATAATTTATTGCTCTTATGACTATATGATCCTATTAGATTTTTTCTAACCAATTAAGCATTAAATATCAGTAATTATAACTATCTTATCAATTCACAGTACAACCAAAAAGAATTTCAGTTCAATTCCTATGCCTGTGTCTACTGGGATTTTTCAAAAAAAGACTGGGACACATATGGCTGTCATAAGGACAAGACCATCGATGGATTTCTGGGCTGCCACTGCAACCATACTACTAATTTTGCTGTATTAATGGTAAGACTGCATAGTGGTCTCTTTCTAGGCAAGAATTTTCCTCATATGCAATTTTAGTGTGTGCTAATTAGCTATAACTGTGGAATTTATTTTGTAGAGTTTTTTAACTCAAATTAAACAGAAAAATTAGATGATGGAATAATAGGAATGTACTTGGCAAAGTAGCATAGAGGTTTTTCTTATTTTTCTTTTTTTTGTTGTTTTGTTTTGTTGCAATATGGCGTAAAGATAGATGAATTCAGCACAGCAATGGGCAGAGAGTGAAGAGGAGCAGACAGAGTGTTCCATTCACTTGTATGTTCTTAAGTGTGAAGTTGTTGCACTCAGATAAGGCATCGTTATGTGTTGGGGATGGTTTCAATATATGGCAAAATGTGGACGTTTAAATTAGTCTCCCGGAGCTTTTTCCACTGGAGTTGGAAAAAGTTGTTATTACAAGTGTTCTGTCAATGGGACTTAATACTCAACACCTGTAATTTAAAGGAGCAAAAGTTCATTGGCTCACAGTCTGTAGCGGTTTCAGGCCATGTCAGTTGGCTCCAACGCAGGGCAGCATGGCAGAGGGGCTCCGCTGAGGTACAGCGGCTTGTGGCGGGTGGCTGGGAAGCAGAGAGAGTCAACACAAACTCAGCTCTAAGCCCCCATAATGCAGTCCCATTCCAGAGACCCCACCAATGATTCCTGAGGCATTAGGGACACACCTAGCTATAGACCATCACAAGACTTTACTAAGTGTTGCTAAAGGATACAAGGAGCATGTCTTGAAATCACTGAATTCTTCCCGTAGCTCCTGTATGTATTCCTTAATCCTTTTCACTCCAAAATTACTCCGTGCCAGTAACTGACAAACCTGAAGTTCAGACGCATAAGCGTCTGTCCAAATTCTTGGACTGACCCTTTAAACTGGGGGTCTTCTGTATGTTCTGTTTCTAGGAACTAATTCTGAGAAAACGAAAATATTAGCTTATATAGTTGATGAAACACTTCAACACGCAATGAAATGGAAAGGTATGCAGGTTGTCTTCCCCTCATTCAGGGCTATTGATCCCCAAGGGCAAGCAGATATTTTCATTCCCGGTGACTGTGATGTAACCACATTTAGGATGGAGCTCAACAAGGCATGCTGATGCAGCACAGATTATCAAAGAATAGAAACTTGCCTTCAAATTTTTTTGAGATAGCTATAGTTTTCTTTTTCATTTTAATTGTCAGACCTCTGTTAGAGTAAAATTTTAGCTTTTTTTGGTACTGGGAAGTGTAGTGCTACATTCTTAGCCTTTTAAAAATGTTTTAAATTTTGGGACAGGGTCTCACTAAATCACGAAGTTGTCCAGGATGGGCTCAAGCTGTGATTCTCCTGCCTCAAACTTCCAGACAAAGTTAAAATTGCAATTCGAGCATAATTCTGTAGTGTTCACAAACCTCTGTATATTTGTACACCGTGTTTATGTAATATTTGTGCTAAAAAGTTCTGGAGACAAGATAGGATTTCACAAGGGAGGGTGTGATGTGAGGTAGCTGACAGTAGAGTGGAGCGCATGCTTTTTATGTTTCTGTAGTACTTTCATAATTTACAAACAAGTGTACATTGCTTTTTTAATTTCAAGAATTTTAAAAGATAAGAAAATATATATAAGCAAAAATTTATGTACCGTGTGAGCACCACCACCGCCTTTCCAGATTTCTATAGTGTGTACTCATGGCATGTACTTCTCTATACATACTAATGCGCTGGGATAGATACTAACATACTAAGCAAAAATGAAAAATCCTTTAAAAGAAACAGAATCATACAAAAATCCTTTCATTGTCATAAAAGTATTTGTGCAACTTTAATGCATTTGTTTGGATGTGCTTGGATTATAGTAACATAAAATAATATAATGAATAAATAGAGTAAGTGTAATCCAAATAACTTTGATTATAGACATCAAGGGAAAATATTTTTTCTAATTGAATTGGTTAAACAGTTATTCTCAAGTTTTCTTCATGTAAATGTACTTTAGAGATAATGGGTTAATTTATTTTATTTCTAAATATATCAAAAGCTATCTATGCCTGGCAGATGTGTCTGGAAAACATACCTGGAAACTGTGATTATTAGGTCAGATAAAATTCTTTGTGATGTTAACTTCCACTGACACGTTAGGAATGGTTACTTAATAACACGCATCAACTTATTTTTCAGACTTTCAAAAAGAATTATCAATACCCTGAATCCTTAGATGTGTTATCCAGTGTCGGGTGTGCCCTGTCTGTTGCTGGACTGGCTCTCACGATCGTATTCCAGATTGTCACCAGGTAAGAGGAGGGAGAGACGCTTGTCATAAGACAAGTTGCTGCCTTGATATAATTTTTTCTGGGCACAGTCTCATCACAGTGCGGTGCTCTAAAGTAGAAGGGAACTGAGCTCAACATGCTCATTTTATTGAAGAGGACACTCAGGCCTCAAGAAGCTAAGGGACACACTCAAATAAGTATATCCCTTAAAGCTATGTGAGTGCCTTGAAATACAATTACATCTCACTTAAGTACAAGTTTTTCGAGTACGGTGACTGTCGTCTCTCCACTCATAAATTCCACAGTTACTGAGTGTTGAATGCAGGTGCGTGTGCCTGCAGATTTGCAGTGTAAGAGAAAGTAATGTTAGTCGGCACATTTTTCAAAATAATTGTACAGATGTGACATTTTCTCTTTTTTATTTTAAAGAGAAAAGAACAAAGACAAAATAAAAAAACAAAGACAAAAACAAAATAACAGAAAAACTATAAAAATGATAACAGAATTTCAAAACAAGATGATAGGAAATCAACAATGGTTGTTGTATTACTTATTGTTGTCTTCAAAGTAGTTGCTCGATTACCAGATATAAGCATGCAAGATAGATCAAACAATGAAAAATTAACTGTTCCTTTCAACAAACCAATAGAAACTAGTAGTATGATTATCTTAGCTGTCCTATATACATGTATTTTTTTCCCTTTCCCTCCTTCCAGTTGTTCCTTCCTATTGAGCAGTTTCTTTCCCTTTCACAATATCTATGGTACCTTTCAGATTTTATTTATGCTTTCAGGTTCTTACACTAGGTAGACAATATGGCGTTTACACATGTGGTTCTGATATATTTCACTTATGAGTAATGTCTCTAGCTGTGTCCATTTACCTGTAAAAGCCTTGAGTATATCTTTATTTATATCTGAGTAATACTCCATTGTCTAAAAATACATCTTTTTTTGTCCATTCCTCAGTGGATGGGCATTTGAGTTGTTTCCAAGACTTACCTATGACAAATTGTGCTGCTATAAACATGGGTGCACATGTATCACTGTGCTATGATGTTTTTAATTCTTCTGGGAAAATACCCAGAAGGGAAATACCTGGGTTAAGTGAGACCTCTAATCCTAGTTTTTCAAATGTAACATTTTCAAGCAGTGAAACTTGTTGAAGTTTTTTAATTCAATAGTTTTTGCTTTTAAACCTGATTTTAAATAATGACCCATAAACAAATTTCTCCTCCTTAACTCTATCGCTCAAGGTCGAATTTTACAACCCACTTGTTATTCTTGTCACATGCTACCTTTTAACTCTCTATACTCTCTTGTAGACTGTTCGTGTATTAGTTTACTTGTTTTGTTTATTTTCCCTACCAACACAAAAATGTATGAGGACAGTGACCGCCTCCGATTTCATTGTCACTGTTGTTTTCCATTCCATCACTGAATCCCCAGGGGTGAGCACACCACTTGGGTCTGACTAAAGCTCTGTCTGAGCTGGGCTTTTGTGATCTCAGCATTCTGGGAGCCTGAGACAGGAGGAAACGTGAGTTCAAGCCCTGCCAGAACAACTTGTAAGACCCTATCTGAAACTTAAAACATAAAAAAGCCACTGGGAGTGTAGTGGAATGCCAAGGCCCTGCATTCATTCCTCAGTCACACACACACGTACACACACACACACAGCCTTGTTTGCCAGCCTGCACACAAGACTAAAGATATTCTTTTAGAGGAAAGACATTAGCTATATATGTGAGGAAAAACAAACAGTTTTAAAGAACACTTAGTTCTGCATGGAGAAATTATACCTTCAAATGAAGGAAGAGTCCTTGAGCGTATATTGCATTAAACAGTCCCTGGACCATTTAGAACATCTTGACCACCTGACAAACAGCAAATATTCCCCAAAACGTAGTCCTTGGAACATTAGTCCCTTGGAGATACACAAATAGACACACGTAACTTTGTTACACATAAGCCAACCAAAGAGATAGTAACTATAAGTCTACTCAAATTATAAAGAAAAGCATTAGTAGCAATAGGCCATAAAATAAACATTTTACCCAATTTAACCTTACTCTTTGAATGTAATATAAGCTAAGCATTATATTATTTTAAAACATATTACAGTTATATAAAATTATTTACATTTAGCATTTTTAAAAATTTACAAGTGAGATTTATATTGCAAAAACTCTGAGTTTTCTCTACATTCAAGCATGGATTCATCTATTAATGTGCAGTAACTCCATTTATAGTCTTTTCTACAAAAAACCTTGTATATTCATGAAAATTCCTAAAACTTGGTAGCCTCAAGCAATAGTTTGTTTTCTTTGATGATTCTATGGCTTGACTTGGTTCAGCTTGGTGGTTTTTCTTCTGGTCTTGGTGGGTCTTCCAGGAAACTGCGGACAGAAGAGGGTCAGTGCCGTGTTATCTGGTCCCAGGATGCTGGGACAGCTGGTTCTTTTCTCCTCTCTATATACTCAGAGCACTGCACATGCTTTCTTTAGCAGAGTGACTAAACTTTTTCTGTGGTCTCTCAGAAACCCAAAGATCACAACAGAAAAGCTATCAGGAGGCCCATATTATCATTTTTGTGTGTGGGGGAGACTTTTGCCTTTGTGAGGTCCTTCTTTCATTAAAAAGATTTAAAAATTATGTTTTATGACTGTATTAATATATTAATGTTAACATTTTTGACCTAAAAGTTCATATTTTTTCCTCTAGTTTTAAAGAAAGTTAAAACTTTGTTATGTGCCGTGTAAGTATCACGGATCCTAGCATGATTGTTACTAATGGGCAAGTCAGTCCTAGCTTTCAGACTTTCTGTTGCAATCTGTTAGTTAAATCAAGGTACAGGAGGGCAGGCCTGAGAGGGGATTACAGTGTGAATAAATGCTGGGAATCAGGATTCGCTGCGGCCTTCTTGGGAGATCAGCCATCTCTTTTGGTCAGAACACAGCTTCAAGGAAGGATATATCAACTTGTTTCTTATCACTCAGTTCGTGGAAATGAGATAAAAGCAGAGCGTGTTTTTCTGATGCGGAACGTGGCCTTACCTGCTGCCTGCTGGGCCGTGAGCTAGATAAGCCGCGGGTAGTAATGTTCCTCCACTTCCTCACAGTTTCAGGGATATTTATTTTTCTGCACTTTATTTGTTATAATTTAATATAAACATTTGCTTATTTATTTTCAGGAAAGTCAGAAAAACCTCAGTAACCTGGGTGTTGGTCAATCTGTGTACCTCAATGTTGATTTTCAACCTTCTCTTTGTGTTTGGAATTGAAAACTCCAATAAGCACTTGGAGACAAGTGGTGATGACATAAATGTTGACTCTGACAGTAACGAAATGCCCACAAGAGACACTATTGACATCCCAAATTCCTCGTGCACTGCAGCCGCCGCCTTTCTGCACTACTTCCTGTTAGTGACATTTACGTGGAATGGACTCAGTGCCCTCCAGCTCTATTTCCTTCTAATTAGGACCATGAAGCCCTTTCCTCGGCATTTCATCCTTCTGATCACTTTAGTTGGATGGGGTAAGTGTCTGCATTTTCACTTACTTAGAAATTTAATTTTGTTCAATCACTTAAACAGACACCAATTGAAAGCTTAACAATACAAGGTCTTGAGGGAGGGGGATAGGGAACAGAAATCCCCAAGAACACTTTTTGTCTAGTAGTTTGAACTCCACTGAAGGAGGCAGATATAATCAAGAAAAGGTGCATTAGATATATCATAAACTGAGTTAAAGACGTTAATTTTTAATGCTGGGCGTGGTGGCGCATGCCCATAATCCCATCACTCAGGAAGCTGAGGCAGGAGACTGACACAAATTTAAGGCCTGCCTGAAATGTACAGCGAGGGCCTGTTTCAAAAAACAAATAAACACCGAACTTTTAAAACATCTCTTTATTTATGTAAGACCTAGACTGTAAATAAATTTCTACCAACTTTAAAGGTTTCCAGAGAGAAAATCATGATTCACAGAGAAGCATTATCTGAAACTTTCATTGGTTTTCAACAAAGTGATACTGAATTTTAAACTTCAAATGACAGAGGAATTAAAACATTTAAGAATAAAAATTGTGGCAAGAATTACAAAGAAATCAGAAATAAGACAGGATTGGCATGTGGAGCCAGCACTACAAAGGAAAAACAAAGGAAAAGATGGTGTCCACCGTTGCCCTCCACCAGTAGGTCAGTTAGTCTCGGGTCCAGAGCGGAAAGAACACACGTCCTGACAAGCGTCATTTGCAGCCTTTCATCCCCGCCCTGGATAAACTTAATTCTGTGCTTCTCTTTGCCACAAAGGAGTCCCAGCCGTAATAGTGGGAGTCACGGTGGGAATTGTTTATTCTCAGAATGCGAATGAGTCACACTGGGAACTAGACTATCGGCAAGAGGAAATGTGAGTTTGCAGTTCTGTTTTTTTAATTGTTTATTTGTACAATTTAGATGTACATATTGATCACATTTGTCATATCCATTGGTACCTGAACGTGGTATATTTTGATTCCTCTTTTTTCCCTCCATTGCCCTCCCCCCTCCCCTCAATCCCTCTTCTCCTCATTTACCAAGCTTTGTTTCCATTTTATCCTTCTTTTTTCAGTTTTTCTTTTCCCTACTTTCCTTTCCCTACTCCTCCCTAATTCTCTTCCATTTTGAAGAATTTCTTCCTATTTCACAATAGCTATTACACATTTTGGTTCTTATTTACACTTTTAGTTTCTCACACCAGAAAAACAATGCAATATTTAAACACATATGTGTGATTTATATTACTTAAGAGGGTGCATCCATTTAGCTAGAAATGTCTCAAGTTTATCTTTCTTTATGGCTGAGTAGCACTCCACTGTATTAAAAAACGCATCTTCTTTGTCTGTTCCTCCATGGATGGGTACTTGGGTTGTTTCTAAAATTTAGTTATTACAAACTGTGCTGCTAGAAATATGGGTGTACATACAATGCTGTGGTATCATACTTTTAATGCTTTTGGTAAGATACCAAGAAGGGGAACAGCAGGGTCAGATGGGGCCTCTAATCTTAATTTATTGAGGAGTCTCTGCACTGACTTCCAGAATGGTTGCACCAATCTACACTCCCACCAGCAGAAGAGAAGGGTTCCTTTTTCCCCACAGCCCCACCAGCATTTGCTATAGTTGGTTTCTTGATGACGGCCATTTGTAATGGCGTGAGATGGAATCTCGTCATTGTTTTAATTTGCATCTTTCCAATGGCCAATGATGTTGAACATTTTTTCATGTATTTATTTGTTGTTTGTGTTTCTTCTGAGATGTGTATTCATCTCAAATCCCTATTTTTGGACTGGGTCTTTAAATTTGAGGGTTCTAGTTTTTTTTTAATTCTTTATATATTGTAGATATCATTTCTTTGTCTGAGGAACAGCTGGCTAAAATTTTTCCCTCTGTGGGTTGTCATTTAACTTGATGATTTCTTTTACTGTGCAAAAGTTTTTTAATAAAATGAGATCCTAGTTGATTCTTTGTAATATTTTCCATGTGATCCAGGATTTGTTCATGAGGGGGTTTGTTCTACACCTATATCTTCAAGAGCTCTACCTATTCTCTCTTCCAGCATATTTAGTGTTTCTGTTTTAATATTTAGATCTTTGATCCATTTTGATTTATTTTAGTGCATGGTGAGAGATATGGGTTTAGTTTTAGTCTTCCCCATTGAAAGCCAGTTTTTCCAGCACCATTTATTAAAGAGGTTATCTTTCTTCCAGTGAACATGTTTGGCCTCTTTATCAAAGATAGGTGGCTGAGTGAATTTGGAGTTGCCTCTGCATCTTATAATGTGTTACATTGATTTTTGGGTCTGTTTTTTTTTTTTTTCCCAGTACTAGTATTATGCTGTTTTTATCACAGTAGCTCTATAGTATAATTTCAAGTCAGGGATTGTGATGCCTCCTGCCTTGCCTTTGTTGTACAGAATTATTTTTGCTATTCTAGTTCTCTTCTGGTACCAAATGAATTTTAAGAATGTTGTCTATACTTCTGCGTGGTATGCTAATGGTATTTTGATTGGGATTGTACTCAATCTGAAAAACTTTGAGAGTATGGCCATTTTCATTATGTTTGTTCTTCTTACCCAAGAGGAAGGAATAGCATTACATTTTCTAATATCCTTTAGATCTCCTTTTTCAGAATACTGTCATTTCCCATATAAAGATCTCTTACTTCCTTTGTTAGACTAGTTGTTCTACTTCATTTTTGTTGATGCTATGGTGAAAGGTGTTGGTTCCCTAATTTCTCTTTAGTGAGTTTATTATTTGGGTACAGGAAGGCCATTGGTTTTTGAGTGCTCACTTTGAATCCAGCTACACTACTGAATTTGCTTATTAAATCTAGAAATCTTTTGGTGGAGTTTTTGGGGTCTTCTATGTAGAGTATTATGTTGTCTGCAAATAATGATAACTTAGATTCTTCCTTTTCTATCTTTATTCCCTTTATTTATCTCTCTTGTCTAATTGCTCTGGCTAGTGTTTTCAGAACCATATTGAATAGGAGTTGTGATAGTGGACATCCTTGTCTTGTTCCTGATTTTAGAGTGAAAGCTTTCAGTTTTTGACCATTTAGTATAATACTGACTGCTGGTTTATCATAGATGGCTTTTATCAGATTGAGATAAAGACCATCTATTCCAATTTTGTGTAGGTTTTTTTTTATCATAAATGGGTGCTACACTTTGTCAAATGCTTTTTCTACAACTATTGAGATGATCATATGATTTTTGTCCTTTGCTCTGTTGATATGGTGTATTATATTTATTGATTTGTGTATGTCGAACCATCCCTGTATTCATGGGATGAGTGCCACTTGCTCACTGTGGATAATCTTCTTGATGATTTCCTGTATTCTGTTTGTCAGTATCTTATTGAGGATTTTTACATCTATGTTCATGAGGGAGATTGCCCTGTAGATTTGTTTCTTGGTTGGGTCCTTCTCTGGTTTCAGTATCAATGGACTGAAGAGTTGATTCTTTGAAAGATTAAGTAAAATTGATAAAACCTTAGCCAATCTTACCAAAAAAGGAAAAACAGACTCAAATTCATGCAATTAGAAATGAAGAGGGTGAATCACAACAGATCCTGCAGAAATCCAGAATATCATTAATACGTACTTTGACAACCTGTATCAGAAGATGGAAAACAGAAGACATAGACAGATTCCTAGATACCTATGAATTACTGAAGCTGAATCACAAAGATATAAAAATTCTAAGTAAGCCAATAGCAGTCAATAACACTGAAAATGTAATTAAAAACTTACCAATACAGAAAAACCAAGTTTTGTTGTCTTCACTGCTGAATTCTACAAGAAATTTAGAAAAAGATCTATTGTCATTACCCTTCAAACTCTTAAATGAATTTGAAAGGGGAGCAATACTCCCAAATTCATCCCTGAGAGCAAGTATTACCCTGATATCAAAACCTGAAATTACATTTTTAAAAAACTCCTTTTCTTTGACAGAACACTATGACTATTCAGCAGTGTTGACTCCAATTAACACTGCTTATCTGTTATATTTAGTGGCAGGCATTTCAAGTTCTCAGAAAACACATGCATCAGTGTGGTTACATGGAAGCTCCCTCTGATCCACATATGCTGTGCTCTAGGCTTCAGGCCCTTAGGTATTTTTCAGGGCAACATCCATCCTATGGCTTTCCAGTCTTATCACTAGAAAGCCCACTCCATAACTACAACAGTTAATCTCACTGTAAAATCTGGCCTTCCTCAACACTCTATTTCTCAAAGCTTGACTCATTCAATTCAAAATAATAAAGAAGTGGGATGTTGTCTTAAGTTACTTTCCTTGTGGCTGGAACACAATACCCGGCCCCACAATTTACTGGAGGAAACGTTTATTTTGGCTCACAGTTTGTGAGAGGTTTCTGTCCACAGCCCACTGGCTCCAAGGCAGGGTGGCACAGCAGAAGGGTGTGGCAGCAGAGAACTGGCTCCTGGGAAGGCAGCAGGAAGCAAAGAGAGATCAAGAGAGGAGGGAAGAGTTAAAGCCTTCCACCACCACTGACTCAACTCATCCTGAAAGGCTTCACCTTTCAACACCACATTTCGTTATAAATTTATAAATGAACTAACCCACTGATGATGCCTCCCAAAATCCCCACCTATGAGCACACGAAACTTTGAGGGGACATCTACCTATAAACCATGATAGATATCACAAGAACAAATTTAGCACAACTACTTCTTTTTTCAAGTAGTGCAAAGGACAGAGAGAGGGAGTATCCAATCCTAGTGCACTATTCCTGATGGAAATCAGTACCGCGCTGGTGTTCTTTCTGGGTTTCCTCATTTGTGTGAGCTCAGTGGGGAGTCACACACACGCATGCACACATGCACACACACACACACACACACATTCTGTACCACAAGTAGTAATTCTTATACCTTATATTCTCAAAATCTAAGTAACTCCAGGCTCATATAAATATTTGACTAATTGTTTAATGTTTGGCAAATCTACATTTATCCACTGCAGCTGGACCATCCTTTTTCTTTTGCTCTCTTTGCTTGTTCTTCTCAAGCTCTGTCTCACAAGGCTTTCTGGTAGGAAATGTGCTCATCTTTTGCCCCTTGCCATGCCCCTCACTCAGGCTAGTCCCTTGGATTGCTTTCCTACTGCAAGAAGCCTGTTCCTTTTCCCTTTCTATCAATTCTATATAATTTGCTTTCTTTGTACTATGATTTACTCAGAAAAAAGACATCATACAGCATTTAACTTTGTGTGCCTGATTTATTTCACTCAATATTATATTTTCCAGTTGTACCCATTTTCCTACAAATGTCTCGTTTGTCATTCTTTATAGCTTAGTAATATTCCATTATATATGTATACCATATTTTGGTTATTAAATCAACATACAAGCTGTTTGATTTGTTTTGGGACAGGGTCTCAGTAAATTGGCCAGGCTCACCTTGAACTTGTGACCCTCCCGTCTTAACCTCCCCAGTAACTGGAATTATAAGTATGAACCACCATGCCCAGACTCTTCATGTCTACTATAGAATCTGTCACTTTGCATAAATGATATAAATGTTTATTAAATGAATGAATGAATTCTTTTAACAGTGCCATGAGGTGGGGACATTTTTCTCACTTCAGAGGGGAAAAACAGCAACAAACACACAACAAACGACCACAACCTGTACCACCAAATCTAAACCAGAACAAAATAATAACAGCTACAATAAAGTTAACTAATTTTCTCACTTTTTAAACATTAAAAATTTTAAATTGCCTACTACTAGGAAGCTGTTCAAATAGGTTATGGTATATCAAAATGATGGAATAATACACAACTATAAAAATAACAAGAGTGCTTTTTAGATTGTTACAGAATTATCTCCAAGAAATGTCAAGTGAAGTACAGAAGTAGGAACCAAATGTTAGTGTCTGAGTGAAAATCAAGGAAAGAATTCTTCAGTTGCTGATGTATGCACAGCCTAAATCTAGAAGGATATGCAAGAAACTGGGTGACCCAGACAGACATGGGAGAAAAATCTTATTCCTCTATGACCATTTGTATGTTTCATATTTTGAACCATCTGGATCAGATACACACTCAAAAATAAAATAAAGTAAAATAAAATAAAATAATAACTTGCCTAAAGTCAGACACCTCACAAGTGACAAGGAATGATTGTTTAAATTCAGGACTGCCTGATTCAGAAGCCCATTTTCTTTCCACTAGCCCAAACTGACTTACAGAGAAATATGGCAGGAGCAGCCCATTTCCCTTTTCTAGTGGGTTGAATTCATGCAAGTGCCCTCAAATGTGTAAGATGCCATGGAATTCGGGCTTTTAGCAAGTGTTTCACTTGTGTGATTGTCAATATTGTTAGTGACAGAAGGAACCAGTATTTATACCTTTGCTGTTTTCTGAAATAATTTCTCTTTTCTCCACAGCTGCTGGCTGGCAACATCGGATAGCAATAGTTTTATAACGAGTTCATTTTTATGGTCATTCATCATGCCTATAACCATTATCCTTATTGGTAATATTGTTATATTTGTTATAATCACGGTCAAAGTGCTATGGGAGAATAACCAGAATCTGACCAGGTAGGGTTCCAAATGAATGGGAAGCTGCTGAGCAAGACTTTAATAAAGCACTGGAAATGTTCACGTTCTTGGGAGGATTTTCATACTCTAAAACCAAGACAAGAGTGTGCGGCATTTTAGAGAGATTTCCTTATGAACTTTGACTCAGGAAGTGAATCCTGTCTTCTAAGATCAGTACTACAGTTTTGGTGTACACCATTACTGCCTTTTTGTATTAAATTAGCCCAAATAAAATCTAAATTAAAAAACTTAAAAAAATTTCCATTAACTATCCCTTGACTCAGGATATTCAAAATATAAAATTTGAATAATTAGAGAAACAAGAAGGTTGTGAAGATATTGTGGTACCTGCGTTTTTATTTTACAAACTGCAACCTGTAGACTGTACTTTACTTATGTTTGTTGGGATACAGAATAGCTTTAAATTTTTAAAAATTAATTGCAGATATGTATACATTTGGCAATTCCACTTAAAATTGGATTTTCTCTTGAAAAAGCTTCCCTGAGCCTATGTTCCCTACAGATGGGATATGTGCTCTTTCTATTTATCAGTTCCCAAGCTGCTTTTCTACTTTCTATACAGCAATAATATAATATAATGTAATGTAATATAGTATAATATAATATATAGTAATATGTATGGCCTCATAAGAATTCTCATTGTTATCTGTAATATAAAAGAAATTTTGCTTTGAGAGACAAAGAACATAAACTGTTAAACACATACATTCTGTCCCCACCTCCATAGCATTAACTTATCAGAATTAATTGATCAGTGCTTGTGAGGCTATGAGTTTGTATTTAATTCTTCAAGTATACTTACTATAAGAACATTTGTGAACTTATGTAAGTTCACAGATGGATCTACTTGGTATGAATAGATGAATGAAAACCATCATCATTTGTAATATAATCTTGAATATGTACCTTACATATCTAAGTCTTTCCTATATAAATTATAGTTAACATTAAGACAAAATATTGTCACTGAAAAATATTAAAACCCATGTTTCAGTAACAGTAATGCATAACAACTTTGCTGAAGTCTACTTAGACTAATTATACGTTAGAATATATTTTCTTTATACAAAAAATGTCATTTTGGGCACAGATATCCCCCAAATTTATATTTCTAAATTTTGACTGACTGATAGCCCAGTTTTTAAATACCTAGTTACAAGGAAAAGCGTATATAATTTAATTCTTTAAAAATTCTCTTCTGTGTAGTATGTTAGTTGGCTACATAACAAATTACCCAAAAACTCAGTGTCTTAGATATATTGGTCATTTGCCACGGTTTGAGTGTTGGGTGGGTAGCTGCTCCGTCATGGCTGGCTCACACGGTGACAAAGTGGGGTGGCTAACTTTCATATCTGGCAGTTCTTGGTGGCCCTGGGTGGCAGCTCTTCAGCTGAGAAAGCTGCACTCTGCTCCACACCGTCTCTATTGTGGACTAGGCCAGGCCATACCTTCTAAAACAAAGGTCTCAGGATTTGAAGGGCAGTACGTAAAGACAAACTTTCATGAGCAAACCCTTTCAAACCTCCGTGTGTGTCATTTTCTGCTGTCCAAAGTTAAGCGGAAAAAATGTCAAGTATGTAGACTTCCCATCACAGGGAAGAGTACTCCATCTCTAAATAACCTCTCTTTTCCGCATCACCCTAAGGCAGAGGCAGCACACAGATACCACCAAATAGGAATTCTGAACGAGTTTATCTTGTAGTACTATGCACACAGTGAAAATTACACTCTAATGGAAAGCTTTGATTCTTAGTAAAATGTGCCTACAGTAATATTTAAGGAACTGTGTTTGCCTGAGCTTCTAAACAGGTGTTAGGTATTTTAAATAAGGCTTGCTAACTCAGACTGTCTTTAGAGCAACATAAGGTCTAGTACCATTGCTTTTCTGAGGCATAGTATTATTAAGCGAGCAGTGTCTATGGGTAGTTAAATATGCATGCTAAATAGGGATAATAACGACATTCATAAATAAAAAACTAATAAACCTTATTTTCTTTCTTGTTTTCTCTCAATTAGCACAAAAAAGATTTCAACCCTAAAGAAAATTCTTAGCACATTATCCATTGCAGTCATTTTTGGAATTACATGGATTTTGGCATACTTTATGCTAATTAGTAATGATGATGTCAGAAATGTCTTCAGCTACATATTCTGCCTTTTCAACTCTACTCAGGTACGGTGTGGACTGGTTTGAAAATAGCAGACCACGCAGCAGTGCAAAGACTAGTCAACCTGGACCGAGGTTTCCTGCTTTTTAAATTCCCTGAAGGTCATTGTTTAGTTACCGTTAGAAGACTAATTTCAGTGCACTTTTTAGGAAAAGGAAGGAAAGCTCTTTACGACTTACTGTGTCTTTTCCTGGCCAGGTGGTCAGAGAATGTAATTGCAGTAGGCAACTTCAGTAGAACCTCTTCTTTGAGTAGCGGATACTTGTCTCTAAAGTAGCTATCTTGGGAAGTATCTCTTTTTTCCTTTTCTCCCGTAAAAGAGGTTCCAGGAAACTCTTTATTACGGTTAATGTTGTGAAGTTTAGTCATTGCTAGAGATTAGATTCCTGTGGTACTGCCTAAATTTCTTTTTTATGTTATTTTAAATTTATTAAAACTAGTTAATGGCCTAGCTTTTGAGCTATATCGTTGAACAAACTTCCCTTCAAAGAAATGTGCATTTTGTATTGGATGTAGCATCCTAAAAATGTGGTTAAAGTTAGGAATTGGCAGGGTTGCCCAAATTTCCCAGTTTTTTTTTTTATCTGACTCACTCAATGGTTATGTGAGGAGTACTAAAATTTCCACCTCTGATTGTGAATTTGTTTGTTTCTTTTCTTCTTTATGTCATCATTTTTTTACTTCATGTTATATTGAGCAAAAGGAATAAACAGCTACATAACCAGCATTCCCACTCATGCACCTACATTTTTTTTTATTCTTTATTTTTGTTAATACTTGCTATATTTGATTTCAGTCTGTTTGATATGTCATACATACCTATCAGCAACTTTGGACTCTTGTTGCATAGACTTTTTTCACTCAATATATCATGTTGTTTTTAAGTGTTACTGTTTTTTTTTAACAGACAGACAACCTTTTACAAAATAGCAAAAGAACAGTGCAGACAATACAGAGTTACAAACAAAGTGGTAGGAAATTAACAATGCTTGTTGTGTTATGTATTGATATCTTCAAAGTGGTTTCTCATGAAAACAGATAGAGACATGCAATATTGATCAATCAAGGACTCACTGACAGTTTCTTTCAGCAAAGAAGTAGAAGACAGTAGATCATTTATGTTAACTATCCTGTATATACATACATTCAAAATTTCTCCTTGTTTCCTTCTCTTTTCCCACACCCCAGTTGCCCTTTACCCTTGAGCGTTTTCCTATCATTTCACAATGTCTATCGTACCTCCAAGTTTAAATTAACTCTTTCAGGTTTTACGCTAGTGAGACAATGTGTGCAGCTACGTTCATGATTGCTATATTTTCTGAATAATTTGGTATTTTCATAATTTAGTTTAAAAGCCTCTTTTCCCATAGTACTTTTTGCCACGAAGTATACTTTACCTGTTATCCAGCCTTTTAAGCACATAGGTTGCATAATTCCTTTTTTTCATCCATTTATTTTCAACTTCTGTGTCTTTGTAGTTAAAGTATGTGTCAGTGAACATGTAGTTCTTCTCTTTTTATCCGTTCTGAAAACTTCCGTCTCTTAATAAGGGTGGTTTGTCCAGTTAGGTCTGACGTATTTGTGAGTTACTCCGGGTCAATCTGTACCTATCACTGTGGTGTAAGTCACTTTTCCATTGCTGAGACACAATGCCTGACATAAGCAATTTAAAGGAGGAGAGGTTTATTTTGGTTCACAGAGTCAGTGGGTTTAGTCCATAGGCAGCTGGCGCCAAGGTAAAAATGTCTGGCAGAAGGGCAGAGTTGAGGAAAACTGTTCACCAGGTGGTAGCTGGGAAGCAGAGTGAGAAGGAAGGGGCCAAGGATGGGAATAGACCTCCCAAGTCATGACCCCCAGCCCCCTCCTGACCATGGCCCATCTCCAAATGTGAGGCACTGGGGGGTTACTTTAGATCTAATCCATAAAATTCTGCCCCTGGCCCCCCAAAAGCTCATATCCATCTCATTAAGCAAAATGCATTTAGTCCATCTCTGAGAGTCGCCAAAGTCTTAACAATTCTAGCACTGCTGAAAACTTCAGGTCCAAAGTCTCCTCTGAGACTCAAGGCAAATTCTAACCTGAAAGCCCCTGTAAAAATAAAAAAGAAAGTTAAACACATCAAATGTACAGATGCACAGGGTAAAGGTTCCCATAAGAGAGGAACAGGATACAAGGGAATCAGACCAAAGCAAGGCAAAAACCTTGCTATAATTAAATCATGTAACTGCATGTCCAGTACCCTTGGTAGGTTGTGGTAGAAGTGAACCACAAAGGGCTTGGGCAGCCCCGCTGCTATAGCCTTGTTGGTTGAAGCCCATATGGCCTTTCTCTTTGCCTGCCTCTGCTCACTGCCTAAGGATTTTCTCAGTACAGAATCCACATTCTTGGCATCTTCAACTTCTGGGAGTCTACTACACCTTTTGCTTCACTCTTACAGCTTCTCACAGGGCTTTGTCATGGACTTCTACTACAACCCTATCATACGTTTTCTTTTTTTTTTTTTTTTTGCCTGACCTCCTTGGCTTTCTTCTGAAATCAGGGTAGAAGCCTCTGTGTCCCCACAGCACCTTCATTTTGCAGGCCTGAAAAATCAGCACTACATGTGTGATGTTAAGGTTGGTCCGCAGGATTGAATAGTAGCTAAGGCCCCTTGCACCATGGCTATGGTGGCCTCTGAGTACCCAGAAAGCTGAACTGAAGAATACATTTCTTTAAGCAGCTCTGAGTGAGCAGATACCACAGAAAGTTTCTTCTCCAATGAAAGATTTACAGTTTTGCACCACTGAGCCTGACATGGGTGGGGATCTTGCCAATTTCTGAAAGGCCCTCAAGTCATCTTTTTTCTTGCCCATGTACAAAGTACTTGGCCCCTTTTTAATGCTTATATTTTCAGCAGCCATGGTTTCCTTTGCCTCAACTTTGCACATACTTCCTTTCTGGAGAAATTGCAAACTTTTCAAGTCACTCAGCTTTGTTATTTGCTCCTGATTCTCACTGTAGAGCTTGGTAAAAGCAGCTAACAGTATACATGCCACAGTATGAACACAGTTTGAACACTGACTGCCTTAAAATTTCCTCAATCAGATTAATTACTCTGCTCTCTTTGATCTAAGTCTCCTGCAAATTCTGAGAACATGGACAAAAGGTAGACCATTTCTTCCAGAGCACAACACACATAGCCTTTAGTCCAACTGCCAGTGGAGTCCGTGTTCCCAAATTGTCTTAGCTACTTTCTGGTTGCTGGAACACAATGCCCAAAAAAATTTAAAGGAAGAAAAGTTTATTTTGGCTCTTAGCTTAGAGGTTTCCATCCACAGTCCACTGGCTCCAAGGCAGGGCAGCATGGCAGAGGAGAAACGACTTGTGGCTGGCAATAGGAAACTGAGAGGAGAGATCAAGGAGGAGGGAGGGAACTATACCCTTGTAGGCCATTCCCCCAGTGACGCTGCTCCTCTGTAGTGTTCACTTCCCAATGTCACAGTTAGCTACAAGCTTACCAGTGGACTAATCCGCCAATGAGTATCACACTTCTATGTTCTGGTAACTTCCCAAAAGCCCCACCTATGAGGGCAGGAGGCTGTTAGGAGAGAACTAAATATAAATCATAACACGATTCACACTTCCAGAGTCTAGCCCTTACCAACACATTACCTGATACCTACAATTTAGAGAGGTTTACTTTGGCTCTCAGTTTCAGCAGACTGATGGTCAGCTGCCACCAAGGCAGATATGGCATGGCATAAGGGCATGGCAGAGGAAAGCCACATGGCAGCCAGGAAGCAGAGAGAGAAGGAAGAAGCCGGGGATGAGAATAAATCCTTCCAAGTCACTTCCCAGTGACCTGTTCCTTCCAACCATGTCCCACCTTCAAATGTGAGACTTTGAGGAGACTTCCTTGATACTAGGAATCAAACTCAGGAGCTTGTGCTTACCAGGCAGGCACTATGCTGCTGAGCTACATCCCTGGCCCTAGGGAGACATTTTAGATTGGTCTAATGTATATACTGATATGGGTTAACTTGTGTCTACCATTTGACGATTTTCCCCTCCTACCCTGCTATTTTTTATTTCTTTATTCCTCTTTTATTGCCTACATTTTAGTAGATTTAATATTATTAGAATTACATTTTAATTTATACTTCAGCAACTAACAATACCCTTTTCCCATGGGGAGGTAAATTTAGAGATATAGTCCACATTTTTAACTTTTCATTGTTGACTTAGAATTAATATTTCCAGTCCCAGTGAAATGTAAGAATGCCAAAACTATGTAAGACTTGCTGTTCTCCCTTCCCTCACATTTTAGTTTTCTCATGTATTACATCTACACATATAATAACAAAGCAGTTTTATTTTTCTTTGAACAAGCATATGTATTGTAAGGAAAGTAAGAGGAATGTGTTAATATTCAATCTAACATTTTTAGCGTTCTTCATTCTTTTCTGAAGATTTGAATTTCTATCTGGCATTATTTCTTTTCAGTGCAACAAGAGATTCCTTTAGAAAGTCTTGCAATGTTTGGCTTCAGGTAATAAATTCTGTTTTCTTTTACCTAAAAATAGATTTATTTTGCTCTCATCCTCAAAGGTTATTTTCATTGGATATAAAATTCTGGGTTGACAGACTTTTTTCTTTTAGCATTTTGAAGAAGCTACCCCACACACTGGCTTCATTTCTAATGACATATCTTGCTGTCCATATTATTGTTCTATTGTAGTAAAGAGTTTTTCTTCTGGCTGCGTTAGGATTTTCTTTTAGCTTTGATGTTCAGTATTTTGACTCTCATCTACCTAAGTATTAGTTTCTGTGTATTTACTCTTCCTGTCATTAATGAGCTTCTAGAATCTGTTAGTTTTTGTCTTTCACCAAAGTTGAGAAATTTTCCACTATTGTTTTTCAGTATTTTTCTGCCAATTCTTTCCTTTTCTTTCTAGAAATCCAATTACATTTATGTTAGATTAATTTATATTTTGCCAATGCTTCCAAAACTTTTCTCATTTTCCTTATTCTTTCTTACTGTTCACTAAACTAGATAATTATACTAATACATCTCCAAGGTCACTGACTTTTTCTACTGTTATGTGCAGTGTCCTGTTAGGCTTATTCAGCAATATTTCTTCCAAATATTATAATTCTTTAGGTCAAGAATTATTGTCTTCTGTAGTTTAAGAATTTTAGATTCTGCTGAAATTTGCTAACTTACTTACTCATTACAAATCCATTAGCCTGTACATCCTTTAGCATATTATAATATCACTTTTAAATCCTTGCCTGCTAAACCTAGTGTCTGGGGAATTTTAGTCACTCTCTAATAATTGCCTTTTTCCCCTAAGGTGGGTCCTATTTTCCTGCTCTTTGTGTTTCTAGTAATTTTAGCTACGTCTTGGACATTATAAATAATGCAGTATAGCAAGTCTGCATTCTGTTGTAGCCCTGTCAGGAGCTGGCTTGGCAGGCAGTTAACTTAACTGAACTGTAGCTGAAAGCTTGGCTTTCCCTGAGCTAGACAAGTGCAGTTTAGTTTAGTCCCTTTTCCTTTAGCTGGGCTTCACAGGGCCTGGTATGTGCATGTGTAGTTCGGGGATCAATAACAGATTTAGAAAGAGATCATATTCTGTTAGTTTTTGTCTTTGAACAATGTTGAGAAATTTTCCACCATTATTTTTTTTTTCAACAATTTTTCTGCCAAATTCTTTCCTTATTTTTGTGGAAATCCAACTGCATTTATATTAGATTAATTTGTATTGTAATAGACTCCCCCTCAGTACTTTCTCACTTCTTGGATGTTATCCCTTATTTTCCAGCTCCTATGGGTGCCCCAAAGCCTGTCTTGTAGTTTTTCAGCCTGTTAAGACTATAATATTTTAACCCCACATCAGTCATCCTGATTGGAGCTGAACAGGTTGTGTCTTCAAGCTAAAAGACATTAAAAGCACAGGAACCCCACTATCAGTCCTTTCCTCCAAGCCTAGATTGATTCCCCTTCCAGTTTTAGACTACTTTTGGTTATCCTCCAAACTATCTGAAAACTATCTGGCAGGTTTTCAAAATAATACATCCAGAGTTTATAGTTAGTTGCAGGGGCTGATTAGATAGTAGTAGAATTTTACAAAGTTGTTTTGTGACATAATTTCACATATGACTGAAGATGCTTTTATTCCTTGAATCTTATTTCAAAGATATTTAATCACAAGCCTTTAAAAACATGACATTCATACTGTCTTTTTTACATTAAAAAGGTTTTACTATTCTTTTCCCTTTTGAACTTATTCTCCAAACTGAACATTTAAGACATTCTATAGTCAACAGTATGTGTAGCTTTCCATCATCATAAAAATAGTGATAAATTAAAATGGGAGATAAAAGTAAGGGGCGGGGGATATAGCTCAGCGGCACAAGCACCTGCCTGGCAAGCACAAGGTCCTGAGTTTGATTCCTGGTACCAAAATAATAATAATAAAATAAATAAAACTAAGTTTGTTTAACCCAGGGAGTCGTTCAACTGTTAATTTATGTGTTATTTCCATGCTAAATTTTTAAACAAGGACACTTCATTGAAAGACATTTGAAAATCAGAATCTCTCTGTGCTCCTTACTATGTGCTTCCTCCCACAGCAAACCCTGCTTTTTATTCCAGTGAAAAATACTATGAAGACTTTACTTCTCTGGTATGGACTGTCATCATTTCTGAGCAGGCAAAATTCATTACCCTTATGTATAACACAATTGTGTTAATGTGTTTAATGTGCTCACACCACATCGGGAGTGTCTTCATGAACAAACCATCAGAGTCACCTGGGTGGAGGGAAGAAAGGGGCTTCTTTCTGCAAGTTCACTCCTTATGCCCCAGGCTGCCAGTCCTAAAGGGAAGGGAGTAATTCCTAAAATATACATGCTTTTCACAATACTTTTTGTCTTTTTGAGACAGGCTCTCGCTATGCAGTTCAGGCTGGCCTTGAGCTCACTTTGTAGCCCAGGCTGGTCTCAAACTCGCAACGATCTTCCTGCCTCAGCCTCCCGAGTGCTGGGATTACAGGTGTGCGCCACCACACCCAGCCCTACTCACAACTTTCTGAGTTTTTCATACCCATATTTATTGGAATTAACTCCTAACTATATATATTTACATGTCACATACACACTTTTTGAAAGTGATGGATATCTTTAGTTCTCAAGTTATTTTTCATAAAATCTTATTTACTTTTAGATGTTCATCAAAGACTGAGAGGCATATAAAACTATCTTTTATTCTTATTTCTCTACTAATTTTTCCTCTAATGTTTGGTTATTCTCTTTCTACAACTCAATTCTGCATTATCATGTTCCCAGAATTGATTGATTTTACGTATTTATGTGTATTATACCCTCCATCAATATAACAAGTCACTCTCATTCCCATTTTACTTTGAAATCTGATTTTCCACAAATTAGTGTAGTAAGTTCTAGTTTGTTTTTGTTCATTTATCTATTTATGCTAGTTTTGTTTTTTAAGCTTTCTCATTACTTTTCACTTATCTTTCCTTAGACTCTACATATTTCAATGTATGTTTTTAATCATTCATCATAGTTTTGCATTTTACCAAAAACAACTGTTAGCTATTAAATATTAGCTAGCAAAACTAATGTATTTGCTTTTATTCTTTCACTTTGTTTTGTTTTTTCACATGTATCTGTCATTGTCTAGCTTTATATCTTTTGGTATATTAGTTAGCTTTATATAATGTGGTATTGTATTTTCTTTTGCATAGCTGTAATTGTATGGAAATTTTGCTTTATTTTAAACTCTATTCATTATAATCTTTTTTCAGTAAATTTACTACAATTTAGATACAATTTTCAGAATAAAATAGTATGTGTAGACTTACAAACCCCACTTTAACATAGCAGTAAGTTAATCTTATAATATTAAAGCAACTAAAATTGCTTCTTGCCTCATAATTTTTTGGTAAAATTTAAAGTTTATCATGCAGCTGTTGTTAAATGATACCAGCTACACAATTTTAAGAAATGTTTATGTCCACATACAGCAAGGGGCAAGCAGGGACCCGATCTCAGGTCTTCTTGGTCTCTTATTGCATGCGGCACTCTGTACGGCAGCTGCTGTGCAGGACAAGAAGAATGGGCATCAGGGTGAAATGAAATCTCTTCATCCTGTATCTCACCACTTCACTAACATTACATTTTCATTGTATGTGCAGGGTCTGCAGATTTTTATCCTCCACACTGTTAGAACAAAAATCTTCCAGAATGAGGCTTCCAAAGTGTTGAAGTCACTGTCCTCGTCTGTTGGCAAAGTGAAGTCACGGTCTCCACTGATCCCACTGAGGATACGCTTAAGGATGTACAGTCTGCTTAGATCTTTGCCAGCCCTACACGAACGCTTCAGGCTCCTGGAGCCATCTGCAGTGACTGAGCAAATGACACTGACTGAAAGTGACAAAGAAAACCCAAGCATCTAGGCAGTGAAACTGTTACCTGTTATGGTCTTTTTACCCAAGTTATGTGAATTTTACATTTCTTTCCTTCAGTTCCTGGTCCTCCCAGAAAGTCTCCCTGTATATGTCAGTTACTTTCTCATCGCTGAGACACAATATCTGATGCCCACAACTTAAGGGAGGGAAGGTCAGTTTGGTCCATGGTAATAGTCCATAGCTGACTGGCTTCCAAGGCAGAACAAGGCATGGTAGAGGTGCATAGTGGACGAAAATCTGCTCACATCGTGGTGGCCAGTCAGGAGACAGAGAGGGAGGACACAAGGGATGCGCCCTTCCAAGTCACACTCTGTGGCCCCTCTCTTCAAAGCAGACCCCGCCTCCCACCAGCAAGTCAGCTGCAGTGTCCCATGATCCAACCGCTTTTCAAACTCCTCACCTCTGAGAACGTGAGAGCTTTAGGGTTTGATTTAACCATAACTCAATATTTTTCTCATGATTATGATATAGGTAAAACTCACTGTCTTCAGGACTAATGGATTTGGTAGTTTTTATAGTATTCAGTAGATGCTTACTTGAATGAGGTGAATAATTCCACTCAGCGTTCAAGATGGTCATTTATTCCTGATTTCATTAGGTCTGTGTGAGACACTTTGACCAAAATGTAGAACTTATAATGAATGTATAATTTATAATTTACTAGAAAGGGCAAGAGGAGGAAAATTGATTTTCTAGAACAAAATGTCTCCTGATGAAGTAGTTACTTGTATTTATCATACTTCTGATCTCTAAATATTTTTTAAAGTTGTACATACATCCTCATGCTTTTATTTAAAATATAGAATTTGGCATCAATTTAACCCCTGCAGATACATATTTTTCTGTTAAAACATGTTTTGCGACCAGAGAAATTGGCTTTGTAAGAAATGGGCGGGGAAACATAGTAATGGGTTGCTCAATTTTCTTATAATTCTTTTTAAATTTTCGCTTTTATTGATGATGGACACAGACTTACATAGTGAAAAGTTAGTACAATCATCCCTATGGCTTTTAGAAGATCTAACTGCTCAGGAAATTTCAAGCATGTGAATTGTGAATGACTTCCTAAATACAAAAGCACTCACTTCAAGAGAAGAGCACTCCGACTGGACTCAGCAGTTACAGCATGCAAATTGCTACTTTCTGTTTTGCCATGAGCTAAGCAGCTGTGAGCGCACTGAGCTAACATGCGAATACGTGTTATGTAACCTCAGCATGTTCTCCTCACTGCTCCCTAGAGAACAAGAATTTGGGCAGACATGAGGTATGACTGAGAAACACTCTCCATGTTCAATTTCTTGAAGATTACTCGAGTAGAAGACACATTGCTCTTCATCCTCCTGCCTCCAGATGCTTATCCCAGGGTTCTCGCCGTTTTCTAAAGCAGTTCTGGCAGACCTCTTTGTGAGTGTCTTCAGTTGCGCCATCATGGCTTCCTCAATGTCGTGAAACAATTCAAGTCATTTACCTTTTGTTTTGACTTTGGGGAATACCTGGAAGTTTCACAGTGCTAGATCCCAGGAATAAGATGGATGAAGACACACTGTAATGCTTTTATGAGTCTGCCTTTTCTCTGGGTAGCTTTTGGCAGCGACATTCACCACATTTTTCTGTCATACTTCCTAAAGACACTCATGAAGGAGGACTTCCAGAAATGCTTCAGAAAATGGCAAGAATGATGGGTTAAATGTGTTGAAAGTGTGTGTGTTCATGATGGTGGTGGGTGTGCTTTCAGAGGGATTAACTGCCATGTGTCTTTTACTGTACAAATTTTTAAAATTTAAATAGTCACCGTATATTTTAATCACACTTTGTAGTTACAAATGACTATTGAATTACTAGGCAAGCCACACAAGCCTACTTAATCCACAGTATAAGTGAGACCTTGTAGGAGAATGAGAAAAAGTAAAGGGAAGAGAATAAAGAAGAAAAGCCGTTCTCAAAGGCCAGTTCTTCATGGTATTACAGTGCTATATCTAGATAGGAACTAGACACACAGAAGATTACAAGATGCAGCTGATTTAAAAACTTTTTTCAGATGAAAATATATCATAAATAACAATCACTTTCAATGCAGAAAAAATCACTAAAGAGCCATGTTTAATCTGAGGGTGGGGTGTATGTGTTTCTTTTAGTGATTATAGTTGTTTTCTCTGCATTTTTAAAGTATACTTGGCATATAGCACTTAAAATTCTACATAATGTTCCTAACTGTACCATAAATGTGCAGTTGTGGAGATTAATTCATGTGATATTTTTCTGCCTACCTTGAAACCCTACCAGTAGGAGATAATTCCTTTGGTTTGAACGTTTATCTCATGTACTAGTCAGCAACCCTTTAGTTTAGTGATAGAAATCCTACTCAAACTAGGGTTAAAGGTCAGAGGGAAATTACTGGCTCAATTAACATGAGGTCCAAGGATCAAGTCGGTTTTAAGCAGCGTGCCTCTGTGTTCCTGTTTGCCCGGGCCAGACTCAGCTTGTGCCTGTTATCCTAAGTACACAGCGGCCCCTTCTGCTTTCAGGTATCCTGGTCTGGGACATGAAACATGACGATGCTAACTTTAAATGCAGGTAGAGCAAGGAGTTCTAAGAATGTGTCAGGATTTTTTTCTCTATTTCTGTGTGCTTCAGTTTGACATTATTCTCAAATGAGGTTTAAGCATCTCAGAATTGGCTATCGGCTTCCCCAGTCCCATAGCCCTACAATGTAAAAGAGAGACCTCTTTACTGTTAACACCCAAAAATCCAATCTCATTAGAATGACTCCAATTCTAGTTATTGCTCCAGCGGGAAAACAGAAAACACAGGACTTAAAATAGAGGGTATTTAAGGCATCAGGTTGGTTCCTTGATGTTTAAAAAACTCAGAGATAAGTGGAAAATACTGCAGAAACTGGGATTAGATAAAGGAGAAAACTGGTACCTATCTTAGGCCAGAGATAAAGTAAGAAGAATTTGCAGAGTCGGTATCTGAACGGAAAAGAGGGACGGTCAGCGGTGGAACCTGGAACCGAGGAGACGCGGTATGCCCTGGCCAGGGAAGGAGGGAGCACAAGAGGGAGAAACAGTGACTTTCTTAAGGGCTAGAGTCTCTCACTGGCCTCGGCGTGCCAAAACCAGTACAGCCACGCGGGAGCTCAGGCCTTCTGTGATACAGAGGACAGCAGGACGGGGAGTGGAAAGGACCAGAGGACAAGCAGGCCCACAAGGGGCGTATTCTACCCAGGACATGTGCCATAGCTTTGTGTTTACAGAATGTGGGTCCCGCCTGGGCCGTGGACCCACTGTAAAGGAGAAGGATGGATAAATAGATTGACAAGATATCACAGAGTAGAGAATGGACAGTTACACCAGTTTTATGGCAGCAAAATGTTAAAGAGCTTCTACTACATCTAATAACACATACATATCTTCTATGTAATGAATCACTTTAAGGATTTACCAGTCAGTCATTTCTCTTATCTGAGCAGGACTAGAATGGGACCAGTAGGAGAACAAGCAACTGTTTTGTGTGTGGGAAGTCACAGAGTAAGAAGAGTGAATAGAGGAATGGAAGGGTGACTGACAGAAAATTGCAGGAAAGAAATTCAAGGCACCTTGGGACTTGTTTTCATGATATTGTGTATGGCCAGCTCCAATTTCTGTACTTTCTGATTTGTGTGATAATAGTGCCCCACTGCCTTTTGTGGCTATGACAACACATATGGGATCTGGGGGGAAACACCATCTGGATTTTAGAACTCCTTTCCTGGATTTTAACTAAGAATTTAGAGTTCAGTGACCGACTGTCAGATCCCAGATTGCCTCTGCTCTTACTCTTCCCATCTTGAAGTTTTCTTGTCTCTTATTTTCCTGTCACTAATGAAGAGAAACCATTCTCAAGCTCATTGTTACCAGCTTCTCATTCATTGCCTCATTCCAGAAGAGGTTTGCATTTTTAGAAATCTAAAAAATTTAGGTTAAAACATTTAGAAAATCTAGGTCAAAAGTATCAACTGTGAAATCCCATTAAAGGTGACCTCCACCCTTCAGTTCATGATTTCTCAGATGAGGTCCAAGACAGCACCAGCATAACGTCCTCAAAGGAATGGACTTGGGAGAGGAGTGGTAATCACTAAAAGAAAACTGCTATAATATTTCAATTTTAAAAGATAAATACAACTCAATAGCCAAAACCAAAACAAAACAAATAAAAAACCAGATAACCTGATTAATAAGTGAGCAAAGAACTGGAATAGATATTTTTTCCAGTGAAGGCATATAAAGAGATAACTGATGCATGAAAAAATGCTCAATATCACTAAACATCAGGGAAATGAAAATCAAAACCACAAGGCGATATCACTGCATACCTGTCAGTACGGGTATTATTTAAAAGATAATAGACATTATGTGTTGACAAGATGTAGGTAAAAGCACTCTTGTATACTGCGGATGGGAATGTGAATTGGTGTAGCCATTACTGAAAATAGTATAGCTCTTCCTCAAAAAATAAAAAATAGAACTACCGTATGGTCCATCAAATAAAGATACTTGTATTCCCACACTTGCATGATATTATTTATAATAACAAAAATATGGAAACAATTAAGTACCTAGTGGTATCTGAACAGATAAGGAAGCTGTGGCACACACAAACGCTCCTTGACTTAGGAGGGATGTATATTCTGATAAACTCATTATACATTGAAAATTTCTAAGTAGATTGTAGGTGTGATACACCTAGCCTACCAAACCTCTAACTTAGCTTAGCCTACCTTAAACATCTTCAGAACACTTAGAATTAGATGAAAGTTGGCCAAATCATCTAATATACTGTAAAATGATTTTTTGGATACTGTACAGCACACTATAGAGTGTCAGTTGTTTACACTTATAAGCACGTGGCCAATGGCTCAGGCTCTCTGCTGATGCTCAGCATTTCAGGAGTATCATGCCGCATGTCATGGGCCCAGGTAAAGATTAAATTTTAAAGTATAGTTTTAAGTAAACATACATTACTTTTGCCCCATCACAGGTGGCAAAATAAGTCAAACCATCATACATTGGAAACCATCTGTATATACAATGAAATATCATTCAGCCTTAAATAATAAAAAGTACTGCTATTTGCAACAACATAAATAAGCCTGTAGAATATGCTAAGTGAAACAAGCCAGATACATCAAGAAATAATTTGCATGGTCTGACTTAAGCGGAGTTGATAACAAAGTCAGGGTTAACACGAAGAGAGTATTACAGTATTACCAGAGTCCAGGGGATGGAGGAAAAGGGGAGTTGTTTGTCAGAGGTACAAACTTTCATTCTGGAGCTCTAATGTACAGCATAGTGAGTATAGTTAATTACACTTGAAATTTGCTGAAAGGAGTTCTTAAGTGTTCTGAAAACACAGACACAAGCACACGCACGCACACACACACACACATGCAAGGGTAACTATGTAAGGTAACATGCATATTAGTTGATTGTGCCAATCATTTCACAGTGTATATGTGTATCAAAACAACACTGAATACTTTAAACATTCCATTTTTTTTGTTTGTTTGTTTTGTATGTCTTCTAGTACCAGGAATCGAACTCATGACCTTGCTCTTGCCAGGCAGGCACTGTGCCGCTGAGCTAAATCCCCAGCCCAAACATTCAATTTTTGTCAATCATATCATAATAGACATAGGGGAGATAACCTTCACAAAGCACATTTCTTAAAAAACAAAATTCAGAATGCCTTAATCTACAATTATTGTCTGTTTGCTGTATTCCCCAAACTCTTTGTCTGAATATGTAAGGATTTGTATAACTATAATTACTATGAATTAAATTCTATTCTGATTTTCACTATTACCTAGTTATGCAGTCCTTACAATAGTTAACAATTGTACAACATAATAGGCTAAGTTGTTTCTATGTTTAGGTCACTTCAGTATTTAAGTTTGTAGTGACACTGTGATGAATAAACTGATATAGCAACAGAGATGAACTTGGAGAATAAGTGAAATGAGTCAGATGAAGTATTTTGCATGGTCTCACTTAAGCAGAGTCTTAAAACATATGTTTTAAATTTCTTTTTAATTACTTTCTTAAATTATCAGGACTTGGATAAACTACAAAGGGTATGAACATTTGGCTACATTCCTGGTATGTTTTAGTATACAGGTGTGTCCCTGACTTATGAACATTTAAGTTGTGAACTTTCACAGGTGTACTGTGTAAGACTTACTTTGTCAGCTTACAAACAGATCTGACTTACAAACAGTTCTCCAGGAATGGAAATTGTTTGTAAGTTGGGGTCTTATTTGGACTTGAAAACACTTCAAATGTATAATGTCTCCAACATCTGGAGTACTGTAACCATTTTTGTACATATTATTTATTTTGGTATTTTTTTCTTATTTTATAGTCTGCTTATTTATCAGATGAGTGATTGTGATTTTCTTCTACAGATTTGTGCAGCTTCCTTATCTACTACAACTCTTAGCTCTACTACAGTTGGCAAAGATATTTATTGCAGTTCATTGTTTTCTTCTCTTTTTAGAATAATTAAATACTGGAGTAAATTCAAAATGCCCAAAAGACTTATAGAGCATTTTACATTATGTGTTCTCACATAGGCAGAATATTTTAAAATTTTGTATTAAGAAATATGCTAAGGAGTACATAGAAACTTCTAGTATGCAGAGCATGGGCATCAGTATGCCAAATAAGGCCAAACAACTTATGTTTGACACATGACATCTCTAACCCTTTACTATTTAAATCTGTTTTCTAATATTGGTTTACCTTAACTCAGGCTGTTAGAGTTAGTTTCATTTTGGTTATTTGCTTTGGTAGCGGCCTTCAACCCCTCACTTTTAAAATTAATTTTATTGATGTACAATTTATATAAAATAAAATGTATCCATTTTAAGTGTATAATGAGATTATTTTTAACAAGTGAATATTCCTCTGAAATCACTTAAATAACATTTAAGAACATTTGTGTAACCCTATGACATTCCGTCATGGCCTCTCACAGGTAAAACCTTCCTCTGTCTTCAACCAACCACTGATTTATTTTCTATCACCAAATATTAATTCTTCTATGTTCTTCTGGTATATCATACAAATGGAATTGTATAGTATGACCTTTTTTGAATATGTCTTAGCTCATCCAGGCTTGTTTCTGAGATTTATCCATATTGTGTGTGTCTGTGGTTATTTTATTTTAATTACTGAGCAGTATTCACTTGCTTGAATATACCACAGTTTACGCATTCACCAGTTCATGGGCATTGATTGTTTCTAGGTTTTAAGTACAATAAATAAAACTGCTAAAAACATTTTTGTACAAGTGTTTGTGTAGATGTGTGTTCTTTTCTCTTGAAGTATGTCATTAGACTGCTGAATCATAGAGTAATTGTGTATTTAACTTCACAAGAAACTGCCAGTTACTCAAAGCAACCGAACCATTTAACACTGCCAGCAGTAATGTATGAATGCTTATGTGTTTCCTCTATACTTCTTGAAGTCCTGATTTTGTGAATTATTTCAGAGAGTAGAAAAACATATGTATCTGTAAGCCACTGATGTTTCTGAAAAAATTCCCATTGTTCAATATGTTAGCTCTTTAACAAAAAAGAAGAAGAAAACAAAGCACAGTGATACTATCCAATCTTGACATGTCTTTCAAACTATTTCCCTGGGAACTATGGTCCCATTCTTATCTGTATTTTTCTTCCAACGGAACTTTGGCACACGTGGAAGTGTAGCCTTTGTAATTTGCTGAACTTTGATAAAAGCTGCTATGAAACTATGATGTAATCATCAAGACTTTCTGGACTTTGTCATAACAAAAAGGAAGATTGCTTTTTGACTCTGTACTCACTAAGCAATAGCAGAGTAGGGAAGCATTCTGGGCTGGAAATTTTGATCCCAACTACAAATTATGTAACTTGAGGCAAGTCGTTTTCTCTCAGAGATTAAGAGTTTAAGGTTTTGTGTTTATAAAGGAACATGCATAAATTTCTGATCAACTCTAAAATTTTGTGAATGGAAATGTAGGCTGAAATTCTTTTTAAATTAACTTAATTCCCAAATAAGTAATACATAAGCACATTTTCTTTAAAAACAAACAAACAAAACCAGATTAGTGTTTCAGTTAGACTTACAGTCCAAGAAGGATCCTCTTTTCCCCAGAGTTAATCTTTGTCATGAGTTTTGTGTATATCCTTCCAGATCTTCCCAAATTATACACTCACAGAAACTCACAGTCTTGTGTTCTTTTTTAAACATTCATGGTATGTTAACACTGTGTCAGTGGTCCCTAAGGCCCTCTTTAGATTAGATAGCTATTACATATCATAAGGATAAGAAGGCGAATTGGCAAAGAAAAAAGGTTGCATGGGAATATAAGTGAAACCTGAGCGAGTTTCTTCCAGGACACACTTAATTCCTGTAGAAAAAAATGTGTGAGTGCATGACAGTCTCTTAAGAAAGCTCATTGTTCGCTTAATCTCCCTGAACATTCAGTACTTAGGATGCCCCTTATTACTGTTGATAAATCCCAGGGCCTTCACACTGAGCTACATTCGCAGTCCTTTGTATTTTTATTTTAAAAATAAGAGGTCTTGTAAAATTGCCCACGCTGTGTTTAAACTTGCAGTCTTCCTATGTTAGCCCCTCAGAGTGCTGGAATTACAGGACTGTGCCACCAAACCCAGTTTAGGATTTTAATTGTGACCTGGTCACATAGAAAGCCATTGGTTGGCATGTACCAAAATTCCAGACTCCCAGAAAGTAGGTGTGCCTCATAAACCACATTATCTGTTCCAACCATGTAGACTCAGTGCACTGTTCTGTGGCACAGATGGAAAAATGGTGCTGGAATGACAGAAAAATAAAAGCACCGCACACAGGTCAGAGCATACAGAAGCAGCAATAGCAACCCTCAATAAATTAGGCTGTTGGAATTTGTTTGTTTGTTTTGTTTTTGTTTTTGTTTTTCTTCCAGTACCAGGAATCGAACTCATGACCTTGAGCTTGCCAGGCAGGCACTGTGCCACAGAGCTAAGTCCCCAGCCCTGGCTCTTGGAATTTAAAAGGATGCATTTCAGCCCAGGTGCCTCCCCTGCATCTCTAGGAATGACTGACACAGTGCTGTACCATCTCATGGGCTCTCAACACGACACGCATGTCCCAGCATTCCCTCTGATCATAGCTAAATTTATGAGATGTAGTACACATTTATGAACCCTTAATGAGGCGGGAGTAGGGTGAAGGCAACAAGGTCAGGCTAGGAGATTGAACATGCACGTTTTCTACCGAGGGCATCAGAGATTTCTTGAAGTTTTATTACTTTAGTTTCTAGCTCTCTTAGGTCTTTTCTTTTCAACCAACATTCTGGTCTTCTGAGTTCGAAAATGAATCTCCCATCAAGCTCAGATTACAGCGTTCTAGGGCTGCTTCTCCAGCTGACATCTCCAAACATTCCTAACTCCTCCTCAAAGCCCGTTCCAAAGGCCTCTGAATCAGCTGGTCAGGTAGCAACACAGCAGTGACTCCACTCTGAGTACTAAAATTTGTCTTGGTTACTTTCTTGTCGCTGAGACACCATGCATAACACCCACCACTTAAAGAAGGAAAGGTTTATTTTGGCTCATGACTGTAAAGCTTTTGGTCCATAGTTGGTTTGATCCAAGGCAGAGAAGAATTGCTCATGGCATTTTCACCAGAATGCTGAGTCCTGGAGAAATTCTTCCCAGGTTCTTGGAGTCCTGAGCAAAGAACTGGATAAGACACATAGAAAAGGTAAATGGAATGTACGTTTATTGACAATGGAAAAGAAGTATGCTCTGCAGAGTGAGAGCAGGCCAGTGAACAGACTCACTGTG